AATTCGCCAAAAAGACGCATTGCATTGGAAGCAGCCGCAACCGTGGGAGCTGCATCGCTAGTTCGTGTAGCCATGGCCGGAAACCTCGGTCAGGTCAAGATACCGATGTCAGCTGTTCTTCGTCTGGGAGGAAATGTGGATGTGACTGCCGTCACGGGTGTAACGATTTTGAAAATCCATGTCGAGACTTGGTGGAGATTCAAGGTTGTTTTCAAAATAATTTGATTATATTGTGGCAACATCAATAACAAATTTTGACACATGCACACAACGCAAGCGCAGAAAAAGTTCAGTGTTGCCAGTAACTTTAAATATCATACAAATTGTAACCATGGGTGCCAAACAGCACCAATGACTTCGCCCGGGTGTGCCCAAGATTGATTTTGGCACACTGTGTAGAGTGACCAACCCCTTGGGTAAACCCTGAAATCTTGAAGCTTATAAGAAAGAACGTTATAAGGTGTTGTAGAGAAGTAAAGAAGAGATGGGAGAAAAGTGGTCGTATCTTGGAACTTTTTGAAAAGAGTAATGAGCTGTGGATTAAAGGATGTCTAGACGTGGGAAGATCGGAATCGATTAACGATATATCTGTGCAATCAAGTAAGTGGCTGCATCAAGATTATTGAAACATGGATAATGTACAACGTTGACGGTTGCCATCTCCGTGGTCAGTGTTTTTTGTCACTGAGAATTTCTTGTACAAAATTAACTACCAAAATGTACATGTCTCTGGTTAAACGTTTGATAATTTGACATTAATGTTGTGTATTTTGAGAGAAGCTACGCTCTGAAATCATTGCAGACAATTTTTGTATTTTTTTTTTTGCTATTAGGGTAATTGATTCTGGTTGGACTTATCCAAAAACTGATGATGGTTGGACCTATTTTTTCAATCGCTAGTTTAGTCAATTTTCGCTAATTTTTTATTTTCAAAGATCACTTTACTATCATAAAAAAAAAACTCTTTTTCTTCAATTTTCATGGGTGTATTATTGAAAAAACTTCAAAACAAATGAATTTCAATGTGTTTTCAAAACAGTTCACTTTCCATGCATTAGCTCGTCATCATGCCTTACTTTCATAAAATACAAAAAAAGGAATATTTTTTACATTTATTTTCATTTTCATGTAGTAAAATACTGCTTTAAGGTGTAAACAACACGTTAGTACCATAGAGGTAACTCTAAGACCACTGGGTCCCGAAGAAAATCATTATTATTTTTGGCTCACTCAGTACCAGAACAACGGTCCCAAGCAGTCCCAAGCTATTTCACTCACCCCTGCATGTTCTGCATGAATCCACACACCCCTGATGTTATCTGTCAAACTTTCATAGCGAATCAAAACAAACATAGTGTAGTAATAGAATTTCAACTAGAATAGGGTACGTTAATCGTTTGCTTGGGACCAATAGGCTACTAAAGTGGTGAGCCAATTTAAAATCGTTAGTTTCGTATTGATTGTTGTTAGTACTCCATTTATCCATCGGTTTCACTAAAATGTTTGAATAATTTACGAAATTCGAATAGATAAATATGATCATGGTTGGACCTACGCATGATGATGGTTGGATGTGTTTCCTAAGACGGCCGCTAGGTGCGCTTCGGTTTGTTTACATCCTACATGCGCAGCTGATTTGAAATTCGATTTCGTTTTGGCCGAGTGAGCAGTTTCTTCGATTGAAAAAATCGCTAAAGAAAAGAGTTATACGGTCGAAAATCTTCAAGACGCTGTTCTTTTAGTAAGAAATAAATCACTTACCACGTATCAGGTACAGAAAAGGTTCAATATTCCGAAAACGACACTTCACGCAAAAATTAAGGGAAGCCATGGCAAGAAATATGTAAGGAAAATATATTGTTGAGTATTGATTAGGAGAACCAGCTAGGGGATTGGGTTTGTATGTGCGCTGCTTCTGACAAGACGGCCAAAAAGATCTTGGAAGCTGCGTCACCTTGCTGTAGGATCTTGCCACCAGATATTTGATAGGTTTTACGGAATTAAGTTATGAAATACACTTAAGTTTGATTGAACACCTTTTATTCACTTCCTTTCGTCATAACCGATATTTCCTCACTGCCCTTACTCTCACGATCCCTCTCCCTCCTCTTTTCCTCATACTCCATCTCTGTTTTCCGAACAAGAGGTCCATGACTCTACAATCCCTCTCCTAGTCTACGGTGAAAAATAGAATCATTAACATTTTGATGTATAAATTATAATATGGATGAGAAAAGAAGAAAAAAAAAATGACATTTTATTGTGGGGAGATCAAGTTACAAATTGTACCGCGATGGCATTTTCCGAATCCTTGAAGGTCGTTCCAATGGACGTGTATAGTCATCTTCGGGTTGAGAAGCATCTGGCTGCTCCATTCGAACTTTTTTCTGTGGAGGCGATTCAATTGGTGATGTTGCTGGAAATTTTGAACTTGATGGAATCGGATCAGGAGTACCATTTTCGATTGGCCATTTTCTCAAATGTGTTACAGAACGGCGAT